AGTGTTAAATGACAAACATAATGCCGTGAAGTTTTGTCTGTTTTAAAAGGTCTTGTCTTCAAAACGGAACAGCAAGCAGCTGCTGCCAGAATGCAGTACTGTATTATTTTGATACTGCATTGGCAACATTTTGTGATTTCAAAATGTTGTTTTGTAAGTTAAGCTTGAATGTCGTGTTGTTATTCAAGATAATTTGACTAATTGTAATTCATTTAAATACAAGAATTATGCAAACATCATGGAAATCCTTCCATAAAATGTGGTTACCAGCTGTTGTTTAGCTACTAACGAACAACAGGAAGGACAAGTATAGATTTACATTTTTACTTAAGGCAATCAAGTTGGCATCATTAGCCATTAAACTGTATGACTCCATTGTTTCTTAGGATTTTTAAACCTTTAAACTGTAGCTGTACCTGTTGCCTCTCTTTTACCACTCTTAAGCCTTATGAATTGTCTTCAAAGGGTCAGACATTCTGATAAAACTGAGTAAAAAAAAGAGAAAAAGTCATAGAAAAAAATATTTTTGTTGTCATCTTGATGTCTGCATAAGATTATTTTTTTTAATCTTATGACAATATATTGTCAATAAATTATACTCCCCATTAGTATTACATGTGATTTGAAATGAATGATGCTGTATGATGTTGTTGTTTTTTTATTTCTTGAACACGTTTGCTTGTTAATTCCACCTGTGTATTTTGATTGATAGATAACACACTATCAAAACATGATTTTGGTCAATGTTGAGATGGCTGCTGATTTGAATGGCATATCCAAAAGAAAGCAGAAAAAAATATACCGTAGCTTGTGAACTGAGTCAAATATACAGTAGATACAGTATATGTGAAGGATAATGGGGTCTTCCAACGCTTTGACATGTGCCCAGCATTAGATAAGCCTACACATGGAGTGTGTATATATAATTTGATTCTTTGAAGTATGTTTCTACATTCTGTTTGCTGGATTTGTGTTGCTTCATAGCCATTCAGTCATGTCTTGTGTTCAAACTATGAAATGTGAAATGTGTGATGGAACTGCCATCAGGGGTTTAAAATCTTTCATTTCCAAGTATTTAGTAAGACTGGTGAGAAGTGCAAAGCAGCCTGTTTTCTGGAGTGAACTTCTGACTCCTTCTCAAATTTATATAGCAAGAGTTCGGATTAAATAGTGTAATAGAAATGGGAAACTTTGTGGTGCACTTAAAAGAGTGGTCAACATGTTGCAAACACATTTTCAAGGGAAAAATCTTTAAAGCTTTGACTGTATCAAAATGGCACCATTGCATAATTCTTCACTTGAAGTATTCAAGTGTGAAAGTAGACTTGAAAGCTAATGCTGAGTGCCTAGTGTAAGGAGATTGGCCCACAGTGTTGACAAGAAAACAAATGATGTGCGTGCTGAGAATGATGAACAGTGGGGCTGGTATTTTAATTCAGCTGTCAGCTTGTCACAGCGCAAAACAGTGTAGGTGTAACCAAATAAATACTTCCAATTTAACCCAATGAATTTCTGTTATTGTGCTGCAGAGCAGGGTGTTTTATTGTAAATGTGATTAATTAGGATTATGGAGCATTACTGATTACTGTTATTAAGTAGTCACCTGTCGACTCTCCCGAAAGAGTAAAAAGACTGAACCATTTCCTGCTAGCACAGCTGTCATTCGTGCAGTGATACTGAGTGTAGTCAATTTTACTCTTGGTGGTGCATTAACATTCCCTTTGTTTCTACCCAGCGAACTGGAGACTTTTCAGGAATGTAGGAAATGAATTTACGTTGCTGTCAATCTCTTGGCTATGGCGTTTAAAAGAACTGGAACTTTTCCTAAGCTGCTGCAAACCTTACTTTTTTATTCTTTTTGAGAAAACTCCTGTGTAATAAATAGCAAACACACAGATTTGTATATTCAGTGCAATCGAAAGTACAGTACTTACTATGTAAAATAGTGCGGTTACTCAATTAAATTCACAACTTTAGCCAGTGAGAACAATAAATATATCAGATTTAAAATGTTTTATTGTTCAAAGATTCAAATTTTAGGGCATATCCAACATCTAGACTTCGTTATTATAGCCCGTTTTAAAAAAGCACTTGAACACTTTTTGAGTTTTAAGGTAATGGATGTGATCCAGGATCATATCTCTAACAGTCTGTGACTGACATTGCCCAAGCAGCAATTCACAACTTGCACAGCACAGGGTAGGGTGGGATTTGTTGTCCTGGGAGATCTCGGCCTTAATGGCACAGGGGCCACTGAGCCTTCCTTGCAATTGCAGGCAAGAGGTGTCTTCAGTGAAGGACACTCTCTTCCAGTTGACCCTGAACCTCTGGATTTGTGGCTGTGGTGCCTGTGATGTGGTAAAAAGCAAGTGGCTTGAAGTTGGTGGGTGGGAGGAGTCTGCATTCATTTCCTCATTCCCCCTTTATGCGCAGTTGTGGTCTGCAGACCAAGACATGGAAAATGCTCAGTTGACTCCTCCGCATTTGGTGGCTAACACTATAATAACTGGCAACTCTAAATGTATGAAAAGGGATGAAATTTCTTAATGGGGGTCAGTCATGTGCCATATATGAACGTGACTTATCATGCCGACGATTAAATTGTTCCACAGGAATAACAGCAGTTAAGGCTTCCAAGTGATTTTAAGAGTAGGACTCAAAAGCATTCTGTTCCTGTGGCAAAGAAAAGCCCTGCATAGCTGACTGAATGATGGAAGCTGTAGTTAAGCTATTAAGTAGAAAATTGGTGCAAATTGAGAGAGGATGCTCTGGCAGGAGCCATGAGCAATAGACCCACTCAACAACTTAATCTTTGCCCTGGGTAGCACTTCACAATAAAGAATGACACCTTGTCTGCAATTGTGTTCATGTGATGGTGAGTTTGGAGGTCTCAAGGGCTAAATTGTTCATTGAAAAAGCTTAGAATTCCTGTGTGTAAGAGATGGAATTGACAACTCATTTCTGTTTTCTCTTAAATCTTGAGGTTGCTACTAGTTGGGGTATAAGACTCTATTTAATTATAATTTATTCCTCAGACACACAGGCCGTTGTGCAACTCTGGTAGAAAAGAATTAGCATTCTTGGGTCAGCGTTTAATCAGAGAACAGTATCTTTTTGTTCCATTTCTTTGAAAGTGAACTGTTGCCTACGTAAGTTGCTTTTCCATTGCCCACAAGGAGCAGTGGTATTTTATTTTTTTTCTGTCTGCAAATTTGAAAGATTCAGCTAAAGCTAAAGCTGGTTCAAATGTGATTGCTTTCATCGACAGGTTTAGTGGGGAGCATTCACACACTATTAAGCTTTTTTGTCATACGCCGCTGTTATCTGATTCTTTCCTCTTTCTTTGGTATTTTAAATTGATGTTCAGCTGTTTACATGTCTGGAATCAGTATTTCTTTCACTGAAAGAAGCACAACAAATCAAAGTACCTCCTGTTAATTCTGTCCTGCACTTTCTAACTGAAATCCCTGAAAACATCATGTTAAAAATATATTGATGTACGCTCTAGAGCATCTTCTCAGCGCATTGTGCAACACTGTTTAAAGTTTTCTGAATGCCAGGGCTGTAGTTGTTTCATCCAGTGTGTTTGGGGGGGAAGGGATTGGTTTGCTTTGTGGTACAGTAGGAAGCTGAAGGTGAAGGTCAGTGAAAAACAATTTCACACAGATGCCAATTCCCTGTGTATACTGGTACAGGCAGAAGACAAAACTTGGAATTTACTTGGAAAATTGGGGAAATAGGATTTATAGAGTTCTTTCATAAATTGTGTGAATGTCATTAGAAATTATTATAAAAGGCAATTAACTGATAAATTAAATCATTTAAGAGTAGAAAATGTTTTTTATGTGTGGTATGATTTTCTAGGAAATAATCTAAATCAGTCTTGCAAAGCTATAGAACAGTTGTTGCTGGATGGCTTCACATCAGCTGTGGATTTATAAAAAATGCTTACTGAATTATCTTTTATAGGAACACATCTGGCCAATTTTTTTTACTTTTTTAATGTTTTGTAATTTCCTAAAATGCTCTACATGTTGGAGCATTTTAAGAATTTTTGGAAGTGAGTTTATTTAAAGCATAGCTGTGTACAGAAGCCTGTTTAATTCTCTCCGGCTCACTAAATGAAGGAGAGCTGCATCGCAATTTGACTACTTGGTGAGGCTCCCTGTAGTCAGGGAGCTTTGCAGTTGTTTTGTTCCTACAGAATGTAGCAAATAGAATTAAATCCACCATGATCCCAAATATAATTTCCACTTTCCTTTTCCAGTAGATAATGGGAACCTGAATAAAAAAATATGGATGATTTTTTTAACTGGACCTTATAGATTTGAAGGCATTAACATTGATTCTGAAGGCTAGTGTTTTTTCTTGCCTTGCAACTCTCCTGATTTCCACCAACCCGTTAACAGAAACATTTTAGATACAGGTTTATGTTATTTTATTTGTATTTTTATTATATTGAAACGTTTCAGTGCAGAAGGCATTAATTTGCGAAGGTACCATTTTCACCCAGTGCCTCTCACATTATAAGCTGAGCTTTCATCACTCACAGGATGTTAATCTCTGGCTTGCAGCAGTTCAGCTGAAGTGCTTTCCATTCTTAGGGATCTTGTAATAATTTGATGCATCCATGGAGGCTTCATACAATTTGCAGTTTCATTGCTAGGTCCCTGGATTAGTCATCTGACAGCTTTCCAAGCATTTCCTTTCCTTTCATGTGACTTCATTACAAAAATCAGATTTGCCTTATTGGAGCCAGCAGCTGCTGCTGTCTTATGCCGTCGTGTTGACAAAAGTATTCCCAGGAGTACTTTTCACTCAAAGATGGTGTTAAAATACTATTTTACATTTCTCGCAAGGTAACAACGGAGCGTTTCCCTTCATAGGCCGTCCTGTATTCCTGCCTGTGTTCCTCTGACGGCTGCACCAGGGCAGGGAAAGTTCACAGTTCCATATATGCCTTTACGTAACACAGGTGTTGTTCGTCTCCTTCCTCACAGTAACGGCACTGCTAGCAAGATGAACGGCGCACTAGAGCACTCAGACCAACCCGACCCCGATGCCATTAAGATGTTTGTCGGACAGATCCCTCGGTCCTGGTCCGAAAAAGAGCTAAAGGAGCTGTTTGAGCCCTACGGCGCGGTCTACCAGATTAACATCCTCCGGGACAGGAGTCAAAACCCACCTCAGAGTAAAGGTAAGGGCTTGTGGCGCTTTTTATATTTTAATATTGTGTGTCCTTAGAAATGTTTGGGGTTTTTTACAACATTTTACATTTTACGTGTCCTATAGGAACCTCAATTATGTTTATTTGGCCAAGGATTCCAAGTGTCTGTGGCCAAGAACAGAAAAATAGTGGGTAGTATGTTCACAACTGAAGCATGTGTTTGTTTGTACCTTTTTCTTTCAAACTTCCGTCTGCCTGGTTTTAATTATAATGTTCCCGTTGCTGCAAGAGAAAGATTTGTGTAGGGAGCCAGTCAGAAATGTCTAAGTATTTGCAGTGTGCTTCTCAAGGGAGTACCTGAAATAACTACATTGGGATGAGTGACAAATCTAAACAATTTCGGAAAATATGAAAGCCTAAGAAAAATTGACATAGTGATTTTGTTTTTTTATGTTGACGGCAGACAGCAGTGTTCTGTTGAAGTATCCAGCTGTGACAAATGAGGAACAGATTTGCATCTGTGTTGCTCAAAAAGACTATAAAGTAGAACGCATTAATAGTGACCCCATCCTGGACCCAGCCATTCATGTGCAATCGAAAGGCCTTTGGATCCAAGAACGCGTTTTCCAAAACCCATCCAGAAACACTTCCTTTGTGTTTAAACCCTGCGCAAACCACTTACAGCAGGGATATTTCAGAGCACAAAACCTTTGTTGTGCTTTCAGTGCTCTGTTCCACAATAGGTTGGTCATAGGGGTCATAGGGGTCAAAAACATTTAAGAATACAACGGAATAAAAATAAACAAGCATTTTACATAACGGCCTTGCATGTGCCATCTTCGTATAAATGCCTTTTTTATGTATGAGGCAAATTGTATCATTGTAATCATTGTAGCTCATATGTTTTCATTTTTTATTAAGTGTTCAATGTCATTCAACCTTATATTTCCATCTTCCATTTCTTTTGCTTTGTTTGGGAAAGACTTTCGTGAGTCCAGTGAATAAGATAAATGGACTGGTCTGTCAAGCCAAGACTTATACAATCAGGCGGACTGATTTTTCTTGCCTCAACGAAGAAAAAACGTCTGCAGTGCAGGCAGAGCCCAGTGGTTCAGTCTTTGCACCTTGAACCTGGCCTGCTAGATGAGATTCAATGGGCTTGAGCCAGCCAGGTTACCTTCAGGTTATCCTTTGAATAGTGACCCCTGTATCCTGACCCAGCTGCCTGCGAGTTTTTATCGTTGTCGGCGAGAGCTGCAACACTCCTCTGATGTACACTAACTGTGCAGTGGGTTAAGGTGTGAAAAAAGACAGATGGCTCTGACAGCGCTTTGCCTCAGAGGGAAGTCTGTGAAGCCCTCATCCCTCCAGTGCAGATACAGGAGCTGTAGTGGTGAAACAGAGTTGATGAGCAAATGCCGAACCTTGGAGGGGTTACAAAAAGAACAATAACTGGCAAGTACAAATTAAAACAAAATAAAAGATGCAGGAGCCAACTGGAGCAGTTTTCGGCAGCAGCTACCAGCTCCAGCAGTCTACAGTGAAAGTCCTGTGGCAGTGCTGTGTTCAATATTTCAGGTGGTGTGAACGAGCTGGACCATCTTCGTCATTCTCAGTTTTTGATATGCATTAATATTCATGACATCACAAGCACAGATGTAAAGAAATGAATCACTGCACACAGAAATCTGCACTAAATTAAGATGCATGTTTTATTAAAGTCCTTTATACATTAACTAAATGTAATGATTTATGCCACTAAAGTCTAGGAAGGAGTCATCTGGCAAGCTTTTCACTACAAGGGTTTTAGATTGTCAGGTGAATTTTCCTCCATTGACTCCAATGAAATATTTTTGTTTTGTACCTTTCCTTAGCTGATATAAGGTAGATTTTTCAAAGTAATTAAATCACTGTATGCCGCTAGGATTATTCTGCGAGATCCAGGATGTTGGTGAGAATTTACAGTATGCTCATCTCTGATATCCATGTACTATACAGTACTATTATCATAGCACTGTCTTTAATAAGTGAAGGAAAGACCTGTAGTAGGCCTTTTCAGAAGTACTTAACTCAAGGATGTTTTTAAATTATTGATTGTTTAGTGATTTAGGTGGGAATAGGAAAGGCAGTAATGGTTAAAAGACTAAATTCATGCCAGTTCTTTATATACAAATACCTCACTTTATTTTTTTGTTTCTTTTTAAAGTAGATTAAGACTTTTTGTGATTTGAGTTCAAAACTTAAAGACTTCATGAAAAATCTGACAATGCTCAAAGAACAACTTTTTTATTTGAACACTACAAATGGCGCTCATCTTTCCTGAGCAAGTCATTTTTGATAAAGCCACAAGATATTAAGAGCAGAGCAATTGAGAGCATAGTCAACTGCAAGGAATATTAAATAATACAAGTTTATAATTTCATTGAACCAACAGTATAACAAAATGGGGCTCTGTTTGGCAGCGTTTTAGTGCAGATTATGTTTCCACAGAGGATTTTCACAGAGTCAATATTCTGATTGTGGAGATATTAACCGATCCCATTTAATATCACCAAATGTGAAGAAATAGCAGCTCTGTTTACTACATTTTAAATATTTAACATCCATTCTGATATTGTGGGAGGCTTGCAAAATTATTTTTGTCTCTCAAGGGTAATTGTGGCTTAAAGTGGATATTTTGTAACACCTGATTTCTTGTTCCTAATGCCTGACTGTCAGGGCCTATACTGGTTGAGTTCTAACTGTAACCATTATACACACGTGATTGTTTCCCTGTATTCCAACATCTCATGCTTTAACATAAGTGACCTGCAAGTATTTGATTGCTCATTTTTGTTTGTGCCGCAACGTAGTCTTTTTTCTCTGGCCTTCTTATTTGTGTTTTGGAAGTGCATAAAAAATCTACAGGCATTGTTTCAATATTTAATAAGGTGTTAAGGCGTGTATGGCATGATTTGAAGACATACTTTGCACGTTTGGCATTCACACATGTTTTCAAATTGAAGGTTTTATCATTGATAGAAAATTACATACATTACCAGAACTGCTGTCTATTCTAGGTAATAAGTTTCACAGAATTTCTTGTTTTCATTAAATTTAGTATAAGGATTGCTGTACTTTTTCGTGTCCTTTCTGTCCTCTAAAATGTATTTTTATCTGTATTGGGGATATATAATGTAATAACCAAGATACATAAAGTAAAAATGAAAGTGCAAATTGTGTGTATACCCTATAAATGCTGCACATGCATTTTATTATAAATACCGTACAATACAAATATAAATATATAAAATATATATACATTTTTTATCACTACACTGTGGCAATCAAAACAGCTAAACAGATATTAAATGAACAAATACAAATATGTCTTGTTTTGGAATATTGTACAATTCGAAAAGCAAGTTGCCGAAAGGAAATGTAAATGATTTATATGTGTACTCTCATTAAACATAAATCTGGCATTAATATTCATATTTTCAAACGCAAGCCTGCAATGGAACATTACGTTGTATTTTTGAGTCATTGTTGCACAGAGTGCATGATACACAAAGATCCCAGTCAATGGAAATCCCAGGATACACGGGGACAAGAGCTCATACTATTAGACAAGCTGGCATTCTGGCACCTGAGCCCAAACCACATGTCAGTAAGAGCTGTAGAGTCTGCATATCATCATTTCGTCAGAAGCAGCTGCATACTTGTCCAGCCTCTTATGCCCAGATGCTCTGCGACATTGTTTCATTGTTGCAGTTTAGACACTTTAGAGCTTAATGTCTCCTATTGCAAGTATGGCTTCCAAATGTGTGGAATCCTTTGTTCCAAATGATCAATAATCCAAATGTACTGTAAAGGACTTCTGGTGTCTTATGGGCTCTTTGCAGTATTGACAAAGCCTTGATGGCTACCATTGCATGTGCAAACCGGGCTCGTGCTGGGTGCAGGGCTTCCAAGTTTCAGGCTTCCCTGTGTGTTTGTCTAGCATGTTGCTTTGTTTCCTCCCACTTAATTTGATTTTTCTGGTTGTGCATATCTGTGCTGAATGATGGGATCTCATGTAATATATATTAATGCAGCAAATTGTTCACATCACGTTATTGGGTTTGGAAGTGTGCCTTGGTATCTGTCACGTTTACATAAGTAATAAGTCAAATGGTTTTGCATCGGGAAGACATTTTTCTGTTTTGCTTGCTCCTGATTTGGAGTCTTTCATTTCACAACTCTGCTCAACGCTGCAAACCATGAACCAGCATGGAAGGGGTGAGGAGGGTGCTTATATCCTTCGTTTCCCCTAACATGGAGCCTCTGAGCACCTGAGACAGTGTGAGCTCCGTAGTGCCTCACAGGAGAGGTAGCGTTAATGGAAAGAGCTGTGCAGTATCACTCTGGCAAAGGTGCAATATCACAGACACTTGGTAAGTCCCATGGATGACTGTCACTTAGCAAGCACCTGGCTGAACTGGCAACGTAAGGCCCTTACAGCTCAGCCCGTGCTTTCTTTTTCTTCCCGGTAACTTCACTCCGCACCGATATCCATTATAATTGTATTATTCCTGCTGTGGCAAAATTAGCCCACTGTTATTTAGGAATCCTGTTTATTTAGCTCTTTGGCTGATGATTTTATCCAAAGCAAGTGGATTATGATTTGCATACAAACGTGGTCAATGGTACCCATTAATTCTGTTGGGTTTGCCGGGTCAAGCGCCCTGCCCAGGGGCACAGCAGCAGTGCCCGTATCTAGGATTTGAACATGCAACCCCACTGCCAAGTCGAGAGTCTACAGCCATTGCCTCTGCTCTGCAGTATTTCAAAAAGGGAAGAAGGAAGTGTTTGTTCGTATCGTGTCTAGTCTTTTGACCTTTGCCACCCACCACTGCAGCTCTGCTGGCGGCCACTCTCTCCCCTGTAGTTGGCACTGATGTGGAATTCCAGCTGGTAAGCTGGCAAACCCATGGAGCACCGCTGACAGTGAAGCCCAAGAGAGAGAATATCATTTAAAACAAGAATCGCCTCGTGGAGAAGCATTTACA